AAATAATGGAAGATGATCGTGTGTTTACTTAAAACATTAACTTCGAGCTTGTATTTAATTTTCTCATCAAAGGCAATAATGTATTACCTGATATTAATCTTCAATTTTAATACCCAGTGAAAGGAGTTGAGCATAGAAAAATATGCTGACGAATCAATCATTAAATTTCGTAATGCTTGGCCAGAAAGCTATTGTATATATGTATATGCAGTTACGAATCATTCGAACTTACGTATACCATAACGTGAAAATTATTTTATTGTATAAACCGACGCACTGTGCATTACGTAGCTGAGCGAATGTCGAATAGACTTCATACTTCAACATGTATTCAGATTGACGACACCGTTATAAATATAGAATAATTAATTACGTTTAGTGAAATGGTGATAAGCAATATTATTATCTGCAGCATGTAATTTATTTACTGACTAACTAACATGTACAGTCTGCAACGTGTGGACACTATATCTTATGAAAATTAATATTGCATACACTAGATATTTTCTAAAGGACTTTGCTTAGAATCCCTGAATGTGTAAGAATGAAAATTTCAGGGATTCATCAGATATATTCATTTTCGGAAAGATATTGCGTCCACTCTTCACGTTAGCCACTGTACCCGTTAACCCTTAATACACTTGTAGCATGCTTTACGTCAGGGGTGACGAACTTCTATGTTGGGAGCCACGGTTACCCTACGGCGGTTCTCTCCTTAGTCAGAACACCGAGGAGAAATTACTAAAGCAGCCTTAGATCCTATGCAATATACTTCTAGTTCATCACTCACATCTAGTGCATCGTGATTTTGACGAAAATTTAAAATGTGTTTAGAAAGAATTTATTTAAGTGTCTCTTATGTTTCATTAAGACTTCTTCAAGGGTTTAGTAAACAGGACTCGTGTTAAGGATGTATTGGCTATACAGTCAATCCTAAAAATTTATGCGTTTTTCTAAGGCACATAAACTTTTGGGATTGACTGTATAGCCAATACATCCTTAACTTCGTTTCTTTTGTTTGAAATTGTACGAAATTCGAGAGACACTCAAGAAGGATCTATCTAGGAAGATACAGATATTCTAAACAACATTATAATTTGTTTCCGAAATCCAAATCAGATCTCATTAACTCGGCTCGAACACTATTTTTATGTAGCCATCCCTAGGTTTAGTCATTTGGTCAAGGATCGTGAAATAAAAATTCGAAGATTTGTTCCATTCATTTATTAATCAAAATTAAGTCATATATTTTCCTTATCTCAACATTTATTACATATACATTAAATTTCCCTGAAATGGTAGTGAAACCTACTATTCGACCATATGTCGAAGAAATGAGTGAGATAAGCCCCCTTTGTCCTGAGCCGTTTAGTTTATTGGTCCCCAGGCGACAAGCCATATTTTCGGTAGGGACACGAGTCATCTATCTTTGAAGAAATACGGGCCTGATTTGTTGAATGCTCCTTTTTTTATACTTACGTTTCATCGACTCTAACTATTCGCTAAGATGGTCACATATACCAATCGGATCGATCGTTCAAGGATCTATTGGGACCCTTGGGACCGCAAGTAAGGTCTCACTTACGTCGCCGTAGAGATTAAGAATGATGGGCCAATAATTGAGAAGCGATTACGTACAATGACCCATTGTCATGTGCGGCTAGCGCAAAGGCATGGAAGGCCAAGGCCGGAGGAAAGAGCCGTCGGTTCGTCACCCCTGCTTTACGTCTTTACGTAGAAATTCTTTATGCGGCACTTTTCTACTGCACCGTTCACGTTTCTTGAATTAGCTGAAGAAAAGCAAACGAATTTCTACTACTACTACTTTTTTCAATTGGCAGACATTTATTTCTAAACTAATTATGCATCTTCGATGTATACGTTCTAATTTGCGTAGCGATTTCTCTACTCTCTCTTTCTCTACTTTTTCTCTTTCTCTCTCTCTCTTTCTCTTTCTCTTTTTCACTGTTAGGTAACAAACGATTACTTTTATACTTTACCATTCTCTTCTCTTACATCACTCTTTTTACATATTCGAGTCAAAAAAAAAAATCTGGGATCGTGTCACTGAACCGAAATGAAAAGTATCTTGAAGATAAAGCAGAGAGAATATTTGATGTTTTAAGGGTTAATGTTGACTAATTAAACGAAATCTCTATTTACTGGTGTGTGGCTTTAACGTTCACTTTTCTCCTGTCTCTGTAATCTCTAACAGTTTTCAGACTACAAAACATGGCATTGTAGACCCCATGTTGTCCATATGGGGTCACCAACTCTTTGTAAATGGCGATACCGATCAGTAAGTGATCTATAAAATACACCTATCACAATATGTATTTTATAACTTGCGTGCAATGCCCTGCGTGCCTACATGCGTTTTATAATTTCTCTCTCTTTCCAACGTATACTATTTTGATTCCTGAATTTAAACTTCTTTAATTACTTCATGTATAATAACTGTTTAAATGTCATCAGGCCGATCGCTTCGATTCTCATTAATATTTTTATTAGCCGATAAAGCTTATTCAAAAATATATATATTATACATACCTGTATACATACGTACGTAAGTGCACATTTTCCAATCTCGACAATATTATGATTATATTATATTACATCCCAGTACACACATTCTTACACATTTCGTACAGATCTCGCGAGGCGAGTAAGTATCATAATAATCGTTTGCTGTCTTCTTTACAGAATTGCAAAGACACTGTGCCTCAGCAACAGGGGCCATGGTTTGTATCTCTCGTCGCCCACCGAGATCCAGAAGTTCTCCGTGTCCAGTCAATTCTGGTACGTTTTCATTCGCTATCTAATCTTTCCATAAATGTATGACTAAGGAATAGATATGTTTAATTTCTACGATATAAATTCGCGTATCCACCCATGTTTCTCAGTATACGATAAAAATCTCAAATACGTTCTACGTTTAATTTCTGTGATATAAATTGTAACTAGTCTACGAATTTATATTTAAACATTCTTAGATTTTTTCTATCTATATAGAAGAAAAGATAAATATAATATAATAGGATTCTATAACTAATTGTAAGTATGTTATATCTGTGTGTGTGTTTTCAGCTCTGAGTTGACTGAAATGATGGGAGATTTATTCACTGGGCACGACATGCCCGAACCGCCGAAGGAAAGTTTCTTCAGAGGTCTCTTCGGTTGTGGAGCTCGAAGCCTGGACAGAGAAGAATTATGTAAGTTTATGATTTTACGTAAGACATGGTCTGTTTAATGAAATCGGGCGAATGTCTCGTTTTCAGTCGGCGAGTCGAGTGGTCGAGCGTCGCGCACGGTGGCGAAGCATATACCAGGACCGAACGCGGGTGCGGAGGGTATTCGCGAACGCGTGACGACGGCGACGGGCGAGGTGAACATGGCTCATCAAATGGTCCTCGAGCGTGGCGACAAACTGTCCCAGCTGGAGGATCGTTCGGCGCGTATGATGACCGAATCCGAGAGCTTCGCCCAGTCGGCTCACGGGCTGATGCTCAAGTACAAAGACAAGAAATGGTATCAGCTATGAGAACGTTCGAGTCCGAATTCGATCCGAGCATGGGACGGCGTGCCATCGTATTGTAATTTAGCGTTTACGATTCATCTGCGAGTTCTGTCGTACTAAACACAAAAAAATCCGAAAAAAAAAAATACAACAGAACGGGAGGTTGTCTTGAAACTCGACGATTGGGTATCCGCGAATTTTACACGCACACACAGGAAACATGTTACACGAGGGAGGAAAAAGAAAATGAGTGAATATGTGTGTGTATGCGTGAATAGTTGACGTGAAAAGAGAGAGAGAGAGGGAGAGAAAGTAAGAATGTGTGAGTCTACGTATGTGTGTGTGTGTTTCAAAGCAGAAGTTGAAGAGAAAGAAGGGAGGAACAAAGGATAAAGGAAACATATACCTATTTAGGCAAAAGATACTTTTACAAGCAAGTAATACACACGCACATCTTTCAACAAAGAATTATAAACAAAAGGAGTACGTACACATTTAAACACAGGTAAGTTTAAAAATGCATATATGCGCGATTTCTCAAACAAAATGTGTAAGAACCTCTATATATATACATACATACATAATATTAATAAGTACCTATAGACAAGTATAGGAAACATGATTCAACTACGTGCGAGTCAATAGTTATGTAACAGTTCGCCTTTTAACCGACGTTAAAACCGACGTACTCGTTAATCCATTCGGACGTCCTGTATATCAATGAAACTCTTTGTCTTCGTTCGCCATTCGATTAACGACTGAAACAAAGCATATGCAAGAAAGAGATACGCGAAGAACAAACTACAAACGATCCAGGAATAGTATACGTCAGGTACAATTTCACCCGGGGTCGGTACCGAGATCAGGGAGCGTCTCAACGAAAAGCCTGTTTAAAGTACAGCGACGTCGTTCCGAATGTATTGACAATAAAGGTAATTAATTAATTAATCGAGATAATAGCGCACCGAGTAAGCGACGAGTACATTGTAATATAGGCTTTGTCGACGAAGCCGGTGACCTTCGAGGGTTCACGTCGTTCCCATCCGCGGCGAGCTTTCGAGCCGCGTCGCCGACGTCGTTGACGAACTCTGTATCAGTTGTTATTAATTGTAGTTATCGCTAGAATGAAGAAACGCTATGTACATAAAGGAAACAAAAATGCAGTAGTAGGAAACAAAAATATTATACGTTAAAACAAGAAAGAGCTGTTTGTATAATAACGTGTTGTAAGTTACGCAAGTTCAGGGCCGACGACGAATCCGGGCCGAATTCACCGGTGCACGGACGATGGATACGAGGGACGGGAGGGGGCGAGTTACTATAATTTTAAACAAATTGTATGCGTAGATTAGACTACTTAAAGACAATATATAATATATATATATACATACATATATATATACATATACGTACCGTGCGCGTACGCGTGTGCGATAAATTCGTTCGAATTCGTCGTGCCACTGAATCGTCGTACTGCTTCCATAGCAATAACTGTATAGTTGATGTTAATGGTACTAATCACAGGCATTGAAACAAAAAAAAAAAGTAACTATATATTATAATAACGTGTCCCGTAGAGAATTAATTAGATCGCAATTTCTTCTCGAGTTGATTGAAGCAACAACTTCTTGAATATAATTTTCCTCGGACAATATACGCAAAGTAGTAGAGATTCGTTGATTAACAGTGAGAGAAAAACAAGATAAAAAACGCAGACAACTTTTGACCACCCGTCAGTCATACCCTTTTTGTCACGAGATGTATTTACTGTCGAGTATATATATAATATATATATATATATTACACATAGTACTGTTGCGTGGTCCACGAGTGAGGAAACAGGGTGGACTAGCTCGAGTAATATATATCGTTGCAGCATCCGTGCAACAAATTTTTCCAATTTTGAGATCGTGATATATACATACAAATATATAAATATATATATAAATACATATATAACGTACAGAAACCTAAAAAAAAAAAAGAGAGGAGACGGAGGGAATTAACGCTACTTTCATTCATTTAACTTACCAGAAGGTGGTAAATCTTTTCGCGGCTGCTTTTATCGTCTTAGTCTCGGTAGTGTTCAAAGCCCCGCAGCTCGATTTTATCCGAAACGCAATTTAAGGCAAACAGATCGATGACGACAATTTTATTACGGCACACGGACGTGTGTCGTTAATACGGTGTATATCCTACGAAGGAGGGACGAAGAGTAATGGAGTAGTTTAAGACGCGGATACAACACGTTTTCTTCTCGGGTCTTTTGTGAAAGTGATGAATAAAAAAAGTTGTTTACTGCTCTAACAATAAAAAGAGGAAAAGTAGTAGTTAAATGTACGATAGCTGCAAACAGAAATGAATACATTATTACCTAAGTGTTTGATAAATATAACATATTCTAACACTTGTTGTATAAAGAGTACTATTTAGGTGAATTCTGAATTATTTATCATATCAAACAGGTTGAGATGTGTTTGAAAATAATTTATTGTAATAAAATAAAGCGAAAGAGCGACGACGACGACGACAGGAAAACATTTGAAGCTAGAGGAGGGAAACGCAACAAGATGTGTGACGGTAAATTATTAATCGGAATTTCTATTTAAACCTTCGTCTACGTTTCGTTCCGCTTCTCCATCAGTGATAGGCAAACGTGAGAGAATCAGAATTATTCGTAAATAAAATTATTTTCACACACAGATTTGTTACAGAGTTTATCTGTTTTCGTTTACAGTTACAGATTATTTTTCTATCTCGACGAGAGGAATTGTTGTTTTGCGGATGTTCAATTTGCGAAGTATTTCCGACATCTTTGCAATCATCTTTTGTAACGTAATTTTTAATGTTTTCATGAGTTCCGTTCGAAAGACGAGTGACTCCTACCTGAATCGTTAGGTACATAAAATGTGTATCGAATGTTCATCGTTTGTTACGTTAAAACCTATTTCGACGTTGTGGCCTGAATCTGTAAACCTACTATACTGTACATGAAACTTTTGTCCTTAGATGCAGATGAAGTATCTAATACTCTCGATTTATACTATTATTATTAATCTAGTACGATTCTTATTTTTCAAGGAATATAATATCATGTTATTGTAAAAGTACTGCCTCGAGGACAGACTGTATCTTGGCTCCGATTAATAAATGAGTTTGAACCAAATATGCATGTTTATTTTCGACGTTTACATAGGTACGATAATTGATAAAAATTGTATCGCTGTTTAAATGAATAATCTTGAGGATTTTTAAAGAAATTTAATATAAAAATCTATAATTTATGAGAGACTCGCAGATCGATTTAAATCACAGTGAACTCTGTTATTGACACACAAGTCGTAGCCGGGTAATTAAATTAATTTCTGCGACTCTTCCACGCACTGTTAGGAACAGGGACTACTGTACATAAGCATCGCTTGGAATAGTACACTGCCCGTCTCCTATACATATATACATACCTTTTTTAATTCCACAGTGGCGGCGAAGGTGCTCTCGACCGCACCCGCCGCGTACACTTCTCATTTTCAATTTAAAAATAATGAGAATTTACTGCGAATAGACTCCGCTGTCGCGTACAGATACTCATCGAGTTTGAGCTCGCTCGCTGGAAGTGGAATGAATTGAAAAAAATTCAATTTACCGTCAGAGTGTACCGCATCCTTTCACCTTCTCCCCAACGTTTCTCCACCTTTCTCGACCCATGCCCCCCTCCGTTTTTTCCACCCTCTCCTCGCTCTCCTTGGAGACGTGCCCCTTGTTCATCGAATGCAACGAAAATAAGAATTGCAGTAATGCAGCCAGCAAAATTATTTCTAAAAATCACTTGGTCAGGTTATTATGTATATTATCACGTTTACTGTTCTTCATCTTCGTACAAGAATTGAACTAGATCACGCTGTCATAGGTACACGTAACTGGAACACTTTTTTAAACGCCTTCACTCGATGATCCATTATTCCTTTTTTTTTTTTAATCAACCGTGCATTACGGTGTGCATAATTTAAGAGGCAGCGACACGACAGCGTAAGTAATACAGAACGTCGCTGTTTATGCATGATTTATTTAAATTTGCTCGCTGATGTAAGGGGGCGGAGGGCCATGCCGGGACTGAAACTAAAATACTGAACGCGACGGGGCAATATGAATAATTTATCGGAACAGCGTTATAATTCTATAATCTGAGAATAATGGACGTCATTAGCGTAATGCTTGTCTTCGAGCTGGATGATCACACTGCCCTGAAATCTGTGATCATTTCCGACAACCCCTACACGCCTCGGTGCAGCCTTGATTGCACGTTTATGCGATTCCTGTTATTTTCAATCATTACTTTTACCGGCCACCCCGCCGCGTCGCTCCTCCTCCCTCTGCCTATCGCCAGGTAATTGTTATAATGAACAGGAAAATGATAGGTCCGGGGGCCCGGCGTTGCCTCGCGTTTTGTTTGAAAAACCTACGGACAATGCGATACCTGCTCTCGCTTCCCATCGCGCAGTGATTCCAATCAATTTTTGTTATTCCGTTACCTGCAAGAGTTCTGACCCCGTCGATCAACGAATCGCATTACTGTGTCAAATACAAGCGTACGCATTATTCATGAATTACACATGTGATTTAATTAAGTATCATCTTTATAAAGTATGACGTATGCAATATTCAACGAGAGTATTAATGCTTCGTATGGTATATGTTAATGTAAATTATTAATATTCAATCGATGTATAATATTGATAATGAATATTCATAATCGTATTGAATATCTTTTAGTCAATAAACTAATTTCAAATTATACGAGGCCATGAAAAATTATTAAAGTTCTTGATTCCAATTATTCTGTAATTGTAACTGTTAATGTAAATTATTAATATTCAATCGATGTATAATATTGATAATGAATATTCATAATCGTATTGAATATCCTTTAGTCAATAAACTAATTTCAAATTATACGAGGCCATGAAAAATTATTAAAGTTCTTGATTCCAATTATTCTAGCTTACATGTACTACAATACAAATGGTCATTGTCACGTCTGCTCGTTATTTTTTTATTTTTCTATTTATTATTTTATTATTTATTATTCTATTATATTATATTTCTATTTATTACGATATTATTTTTCTACTTATGTACATGGTAGATTTTGATTTCGTGTGCATTATAGAGAAACGTATTA